CCCCAAAACCCCAAAACCCCAAAACCCCAAAGATAAATAAGTATTAATATTAAATCAATTTATGAAATTAAAATTAAATCTTGCTATATCAATATTAATTTATAAAATCAAGGCTCATTTTAAATCGTGGACTCTTAGCCTAGGAGCAATCTGCATCGCCATTAGTTCTTGGAGCAATAACTTGCAGGCATAAGGAATATTAACTTGGCATATCTTTGAAGTGTTCTGACAGTTGTAGCACTCAAATCTCTGCTCTGCAAGGTTTCCAACACATATAAGTCCGCATATCTCGCACATGTGCACTCTGTAGAAATCACTAACATCAAAGAGTCTCTCCTTCAGGAATCTAGCTGCTCCATGAGATATCATACAATCTCTTTCCATCTCACCAAATCTTAACCCTCCGTCTCTTGATCTTCCCTCTGTTGGTTGTCTGGTTAGGATTTAGGTGGGGCCTCTCCCTCTAGAATGAATCTTATCATCTACCATGTGCTTTAGCCTTTGATAGTAAGTTGGCCCAAGGAATATCATTACTTCCATCTTTTTACCATTGAATCCGTTATACATCACCTCGTTTCCTCTTAGCTGATAGCCTTGCTAATGAAGTCTTTTAGAGATCTACTCCACAGTGTCCTTGACACCTACCTTTTAGAACGGAGTAGCGTCTCCCTCTGTGCCTGTAAGTGCTGCAACTTTTGATCCTAAACATTCAACCAAATGGCCAATAGTCATTCTTGATGGGATAGCATGAGGATTGATTATGAGATCAGGTACGATGCCCTCTCTTGTAAATGGCATATCCTCCATTCTATAAGTCATTCCAACTGTACCTTTTTATCCATGTCTACTAGCAAATTTATCTCCAATCTGTGGTATTCTTTCAGATCTCATTTTGACCTTTGCAAATCTCTCACCTTATTCATTTACTGTGAGTACAACTTAGTCAATTTTCCCATTCTCAGAATGTTTAATGCAGATTGAACAATCTTTTCTAGACTTGACGAAATAGAACGGATCAGTTTACTAGTCATTCTAATTATCATTCATTCTGATGAGTGAGCTCTTACCGATAATTACATCATCACCGCTTACAAGATTTCCAGGGTTGATTAATCCGTCAATATCTAGCTTATCATAAGTGCCATGCTTGCGACCAGAGCATTTTCTAAAGTCAGGAATCTCAAACTATTCATCTTTTTCTTGAGTGTCACTATATGTTCTAAAGAAGGCACTTCTAAAAAGACCTCTGTCAATTGATGACTAATTGAATATAATTGAGTCCTCTTAATTATAACCGGTGTAGCAAGCTATTGCAACTATTGCATTACAACCAGCTGGTAGCTCTTTGAAATGAAGAAAATCCATAGATTTTGTGCAGACTAGAGGCTTCTGTGGATAGTACAGTACGTGTGCAAGTGTGTCCATTCTAATAGAATGATTACTAGTGTAAATTCCCATTGCTTATTTCCCCATTGCACTCTGATAAGTATTTCTAGGCGACTATATATCTGTTAATTTAAAACTATGTATTACCTGATTGTGATCTGGAAAAGGAATGATAGATGCACAAACGCCTAAGATCATAGATGGATGAATCTCACAGTGAGTATAAGTAGTAATTGGCTTCGTCTTAAGATCTTATATGTGCATTGCTATCATTGCAGTTTCTTCCTCCTCTACATCAAGGAATTCTATAAGTCCTTCTTTTAGGGCCTCATCAAAGTTCATCGATTCATAGTCAGTCCTCAGCATTCTTTAGATATGATGCTTCTTAAGTTTGATTTTTCCATTCTATACAATGAATAAGGGTCTTTATACTCTTCCTGAATCTGTGTAAAATCTGACCTCCTTGTTTAAAATATCTCTGATGATTGCTATTTCTTTTGGAATTTAAAACTTTCTTCTTAGTCTCATAATTGAAAATACTAGATCATCAGGGTTTGAATGAGTGCCATACCAATTGCCATTCACAAAAACTCTTACACTCCTTCCGGTTCCAAGTTGATTAACATCATCAAGTCTCTCAACTCCAAAATCATCTAGCAGGTTCAGTAAGACTGATGTTGATGAACCAACTGACACAAATGCCATTAGTGCTAGATTTTTTACTAGTCCACAAGCAGCACCTTCTGGTGTCTCAGCTGGACATATCATTCCCCAGTGAGTATTATGTAATTGACGTGGTTTAGCTAGCTTTCCTTATTTAGCCATAGGAGTGTTCAGTCTTCTTAAATGTGATAATGAAGATGCAAAAGTTAATCTGTTAAGAACTTAAGCAACTCCTGTTTTTAAGACATCTCCATTTTTATCTTTGCCCCAATTTCCTGTTGCTAATGCTGTTCTTAGTCCTCTTGTTATAATATCTGATTTAACAGCACTTTAGAGCATAATATGTTCCTTGCCTGAATCAATGTCCCTCTTTAGAATTTTTCCCATTGTATCTGTAAATTATCTGAATAGTTATCTGAAATGAGTTGCTATCAAAGCACCAGCCATATCAAGTCTTTTCTTTCCATAATAGTCACGATCGTCTTCATCTATTCTCCCGAGGTAGGCTTTTAGTAGTTTGTTAACCATATAGCCAAGGAAGAATGATTTCTTAGGTAGATCTTGAGGGAGTATAGAAACATGAGGTAAAAATTCACTTTCAAGAAGCAACTTTGTATAGTTTAATCTATTTTCTTTGACATATGCTTGAGCAGAGCCACGCTTAGCAATGTAATCTAGTGCTTCTTCTTGTGTATCAATAATTTTAGCTTCATCCAAGCTAGCTCTTAAAGATTCAACCATTTCGGCATCATCAGGGCAATCAAAGCAGATTCTACTAAGTATGAGTTTATCAGAAATACAGCCAAGGGCTCTGAATAAAATAACCACTGGAATCTATTCTTTAATGAGAGGTATTGTGACATAAATGCATTGGCCAAACTTATTAGAGATGACTTATTTAGAACCTTTGAATTTACTTTTGAGGAAGAGAATTAACAATTATGGAGGTCTGTTTGAACTTTCAGCTTAGGATCTGATTTCAGCGACCCAAGAATATTTCGAAGGAGGTTTCTTGTGGAAGACTAGAACTTAGTTATTAGCCATTCTCTCTTGAGCTACAATCACTTTCTCACTTCCATTAATGATGAAGTAGCCACCTTAGTCATACTAGCAATCTTTCCCACTCTTTACTCTGTCAAATAAGTTAAGGTTGTGCAGTTGACAGAACTTTGATCTTAGCATGACAGGAATCTTGCCAATTAAGACTCTTGCTTTTTGATACTCTTACAGTACTTGCTTAATTCTTCTCTTTCTCTATCCTGATTTCTAATCAAGCTCATAGTCGTCACTCATCTCAGTCTTGCTAAAATTAATATCTACGTAGACTTCAGTAGCATAGGTGAGGTTTCTCATTCTAGCCTCATGTGGGAATATGGGCACATATTTCTCATCTTCCTCAACTATTCTTGGACTTGCATTCACACTAACTTAGCCAAATTTAAGCACAAAGACAATGTTTTTGTCAGTGTCAGTCACCTTACCTATAGTTATCATAAGTTTTATTCCCATGAGATAGAAGACTTACTATTTAGTTGATATTGAGGAGTAAACTCAATCTAGATTTCTCCATTTTCAGTAATGATGTCTTGCAAGATGTAGCTCATAAATCTGTCGAAAGATGATATCTACTAAGAAAGCAAACCATTTTGTTTAAAGTAAGTCCTGATTACCGTCCATGAATCATCTTGATCAATCTCTTAGTTCTCTTGGAGGTCTGCAATTACAGGACCTTTGTTAGAGTTATGGATCCCTGTTCCTGTTCCCTGTCTAGCATGTTTCTGCTGATCGGTATACTGGTAGTTCATTCGTTAAACTCAAATTTAATTTTATAATCTCACTTAAAAATTGCAAATAAATATTCAATTAAACCAATTATTTTTAACTCATCTATCATGAAATTATCAGTTCTATGGGGTTTTGGGGTTTTGGGG